CAGTTTCCTCCATGCAAGTGAACAGGAAACAGATGCTAGGAATTGTTCTGTCCCTGAATTCCTTAGAGAGAGATTCTAGTCAACACCAACGTGTGAGATTTGCTTTGTACTTGCATGCGAAAAGGTAGTAGACGGTGACTAAATTGACTCCCTGGTTTCCCTGCTCTGAATGTCCATTTCCTCACAGTTTCCACTTGCGTATGTCCGTCTGCCCAAACCCAGGTTATGGCAGGCAGGCTTCCCTAATGGAGTCATGGAGCCAAGTCTACGATTTCTCAGGACAAGGTCAACCGTAACGCCTCAGGCACCAACAGCAGTGGGAGGTAGCATTTGTGGAGAACATTAGAGTTCATAACAAAATTTCAGTGATAAATGATAAGGCGAGGCAAACCCATATGACTTCCGTGGCTAAGAAAAAATGAAGCAAATCCAATTGCAATATATTATCCCCTGTAAATCTGCTAAAAGATAGTGAGCGGTGCTCTAAATGAATCATTTTGCCACAGTCTCCCTAAAGTATGCTTTCGCTGTGCAACAGCTAATAGGTGAATAATAAAAATGTGTTCTCCATAATTACATTAATTATGCAAACAAATAGAAACACACAGCAATAATTAAGGCGTTAAGATTATTGCGGATGATCAAGCACCCAGACATGTGACACAAGGGGAAAATAGAAATTTAGTATCGAGGAATATTGTTTGACATTTACAAGGTGATATGATTTGAAAAATAAAAGGCTCTTCTTTTCATGGACCATGGCGCCATCTAGAGGACACTGAAAAAAACTAACCAGACTCAACATGGGCATCATTTGAGAGGTTATATTCTAGTTGGTGGGACTATTTGCGCTGAGAAAATTCAGTTGAGCAAATGTGGTGTCATTATAGCCTAAAGTAACTCATTTTTCTCAGGCTTTGGGTGTTTGTGTGCATGTGCGCGTGTGTGATGCATTGTGTGAAGCATTATGATATGGTGCCACCTACTGTTAGATCCCTTGCCATATGATTGAAATAAAAGCACAATCCGTGCGTATATCCTGTTGATAAGATCAAATTAAAGTGAGACAAAGGTCAGCTGTACAGTGTAATATTACACGCCGCAAGAGAGGTTTTGTGTACGATGTGTGCTCCCATATTCTGTGCCACCAGATGAGAACAAAGGGCAAAAGGTTACAGTCATGTCATCCCTCACCTCACATATGATTTGCAACCGCTGGCCCCTCCCTCACTCAAGATTTATTGTACATTAAATTTCTGCTGACGTTGTTCTGCTCGGCCGCTCCTTAGATATATGGCAAACCATAATTTGGAGGTGTAAAAATGGGTATAAAACCTGTATTAATTATTTCATTGTGGTTCTACAGTAAGTGCTGTCTTTTAGCCCAGACGAGGATGTCATCCCCCTCTATTTCAGCAGATCATTATATCACTCATTTGTCAGAGAGAGACTAAATTACAATCAAGGCCAGTGCTGTACTGTTGTATGGTAAATCAGGGAAAACCAAGACTTTTTTATTGGTGTCATTAACTAATACTTTTATTCATTTTTTACTTTATTTGATGTAAATTAGCTGATAATTGCATTTAAATCTCTTTTTTCTAGCAGTGGACTGACGGCCTGGCCTATTGCTGCATTAAAGACCCCAAACTACAGTGATAAAACAAAAGCTGGAGGTTTTCGCTGGCTTGTTTCTTGAAATGGCATGAAAGCAAAAAGCAGCCACAGTAAGCACAGAGGCTGGAAGTGCCCATGACGGATAGCAGTGTGTGGGACTTGTGATATATCTTTGTGTCGCGGGGCAGTTAGGTACAAAGACTGAGGGGTGTGATCAACAACCAAACAAACACACTGTCCTGAAGCGAGGGCGAGGAAGTGTACACAGAGCATCCATCACACCACATCTGTGAGCGGCCGATACTGTTCTGTTTAGTCTCACTAACCCACTACACTCAGATCATGTCCCGCTGCCCTTGCAGGTCTCACATGTAGTTATAAAATTATGGCATAATTTATCAGCCTTGCAGCAGTAGTTGCTTGTACAGCATCTCCAGCAAAGACATAATTAAGCTGAACAAGTAACACAAAAAGCAACAGTTTCTCTAAGTACCAAGTTACATTCTAAATAATTTAAGTGGTTAAAGCCACAGATCAACTGCGTGCATGCTATTAAGATGTTCTAAATAACACAAGAACTACTGAACTTCTCATTTACAACCATGCATTTCTTCCCCAGTCAGTAACTCTTAAAAATGACACGTAAACACGTCATGATTCTTCTCATTCTGTAAATCCTTGCTCCTGCTGAGACTTTAAATGCTCTTGTGATCAGAGAAGTATCCAGATCAGTAGCTTGCAGTTAAGAAGCAATGGCACACTTGACATGGATTATTCAAAAGCCGTTTTTTATTTGAAAGGGGTAAACACTGTATACCTAAATAGAGTTGAACCTTTCACTGATATCAGTTACTAACACTAGCTTGCAAAACGGCTGTTGTAAAATGGATCTCTTATCACTGAGACTGAAACATTTATGTCTCAGTGATAAGAGAATGTTGCCATTTTATTGTTGCATAGGTCAAGCGAATTTTATCTACTGAATAAGCTCATCATATTCTGTATTATTAAGCACTGATTACAGTAGAAGTGTAATATGGTAGTAGGTTAAAGTACAAATATGTCAAAAATGTACTCTTGCATAGAAACTCAGTATGTGTTACTTTTCACAGTCAGTATATTTAAGGGACTAACATGAGTTTAACAAATTCTCCGCTATTTATACCAATCCCTAACCATACTGTGGAAATATACTATACAGTGATAGATTTAATAAAATAGAAATTTGATTTAACCCTTGTGTGGTGTTCGTATTTTTGTTACTCAGCCAGTGTTCATGGGTCTGGTGGACCCGCTAGAGTTTTGGCTTTCCAAATTAACACTATCAAACAATTTTATGTTAAATTACTCAACAGATGTTTACTTCATCCCAATTACAAGACATATACAGCAAGCATGGTTAATTTTTTCCCTTTACCTTTGTTAGATCACATTTATGAATTAATGTGCTTCTCGTTTTTCTTTTATATAAAATGTTATAAATAAATCAGTTATAATCAAGTGGAGTGAGTGGAAAGACACAACACATTTACACGTGAAAAAATAATTAATTGTTTAATTTTTCTTTTGAAAAAAACTGAACACGGGTCTCACAGACCCGAACACCATACAAGGGTTAAGGATTATCAGTCTATGAATGCAACAAGTACAGATAAGTAAGATTCCGGTATGCTGTTGTTGTTTTTCCTGTAGTGCAGAATGATTTCTTCTCATGTGTGTTGCATCGTGCTTCTTGTTTGTTCCAATACAAACAGGAAAAATTTATTTAAAAAATAAAAGCATGGCATTTGGACAGTGTTAAAGACCATCTGCTCTACTTCAAAGGTGGTGGACGGGGCAGGATTCACACTCATCTTGCTAAACATGCATCTGCTGCAACCAGAAAATGTATTGACCTTTATTGTGAGCAGCACCATTACCACGCTGAAATAGTCCAACGGGGCCCAGTTACCAAAGCAGAAGATGATTGTTATATGTTCACACACAGCAAGACCTTTGCAATAGAGGTTCCAGCATAGACAACCTTTATTTATGTAGTTCCAAAAAAAGCAGGACCACTCTCACTAACGTCTGATTTTTTTTTTCCATAATTTATTGTAGACTGATTTTCCACCATAGAAAAAGATCTGTGTTGTAATGCACAAAAAAACTGATCAAGTGTCTGAAAGCATACATAGGCTGCAGCAGGACAGAAGAAGCCAAACATGGACTGGCTCTTGAATTTGAACTATGGGCCGCTCATAAAAACTCATCATTAATAGTGTCAGTAAAACATTACCCTTTTTTATTGGGGCTGTATTTTCCTCACATACTACAGTAAAGTTAATGACAGACATTGTCTAAACCATAAAACCGTCATATATTTGGAGATGCTGGTCAGCTTCACCAAGGCTTAGTAGCATCTGGCTCATAGATCATACCTGTCCAATCAAGTGTTCTCGTAACACAGAGGAAACTTGAACTGAAAAGATGGCTTTATGTCTCATTTCCACACTTGCAACTGAACATAATTGTTATTAATTATTTTCATGCAGACATTTCTAAAACTTCTTTAAAGGTGTACTTTAAAAAAACAGAAAATAGAAAGTTGTAAACATTCTGCCATTAAAATACTAAAATATCTGATAAAAACAACTTTGTAGGTTTTTAAGTTTGTTGTGTTTACTGGTCGGGGGTGCGGGGAGGAGGGGCTGAGTGCTAAGCTAGAGTAAAAAGCGCTATATAAGAAGTAGCCCAATCACACTTTGGTCCTCTTACTGAAATTACTTTGCTTGTTTTACTGTATGGGATAATAATCTGAATTCTAATCCTTTTTTGTTTTTATGTATTTATTTATTTTGCTGCAAATGCAACACAAAATTTGGAAGATGCCTGTTTTTAGGGTTTGGCTTGCATTGGAGTTATTTCTTTCTTTCTTTTTTTTACTGACATTGAAGCAACGATTTACAGCCTAGATTGCATCAGCAGTTATTTCACTGAAATGAATCAAAGGCAGGTTTGTGTGAAAAGAAATGTACCTGGGAGTCCAGTAGACACTGGTCAGAGATATGTCGGTTATAAATGCTGCTTGTGCTGCAGACTAACATCAGCAGCACAAACATGAAGCATTGACTATGGAGGGCTTGATGGATGGAAGGGTTGATGGTTGGTACTCCAAGTCAACCAGCAGATGGCGCAAAGTAACATTGATTTGTTGCAGGAAACGAGGCGAGCAGTAAAAGACAGAGTGTACTAAGATAACTTTAATCAGAATTAATATTATACAAGAAGCTTTATATGGCAGTCTGTGCTCATGAGTCATGGAGGCTATAGAGTGCTGTGTTTTAAATTTTGACCACTGTAGTTCACGATTGTCTTACGACCAGCATCAGCAGCCACGCCGATTGGGTCACGTGATCCGCTCAGCTCTGCGTCCGTAGACATCTGCAAAATGGAGGTGAGGCTCTGGCAAATGTTGCAAATTAATTACGGTTGTGTGAGACATGCATGGAGACAGTGGCTATTCTGTAACACTTACGCGACAGTGCTCAGAGGGCGTATTGTGTTGCATCATAACATGTGGCTGCTCTGTTACTGTAAAGCTGGTCGTTTTAGCTAAGACTGTAGCTAAGCTAATGGTGGTCCAACAAGACTAAACATTCAGCTCTCCGGCTATGGAGCTGGAGAGCAGTATATTGTGTTGGGGTTGGCGCTTTCCCAAATAAATAAATAAACAATCTCGCTGGAGTTTATAAACCAAAGGTAGTTATTAGAGCAAGTGCGTTTTGCTTGTTTATGTGTATATTGTTAGTGTTGCTAGAGTACCTGCGTCTGTCTTGAAGCGAGCTAATGCTAGCTGCTAAAGCTAATGCAGCCAGGCTAACCCAGACTGTACTATGGACACGGACACGTTAGATGGTATATGCAGCATGTCACGTAATATAATTCCGTGTGTTTTTGTTTTTTAAGTGTTGTGGGGTTGTTGTTTTTTTTAACTGAGTGTGTCGCCTACGAGTTAATGTCACAGTCTGGTATAAAGGGCTGACACTACAGCTGAACAGCCTAATTTCATAACTAATAAATATTCAAATATTGTTTTCTCTTTGTTTTTGTTTTTGTCTTTTCTATAAATGATATTTTTAGTCTCACTGTGGAGGTAAATTTGTATATATTTGTATATATTTTCCACCACAACCGATTTGTTAGTCTGTAGGTGTTGGTTTAAAACACGAATTACATTTTATTAACAAGAACAATAATTGATGTCTGAAGAAACCTTCAGTAAAACACTTTAATTAATGCTGAAGTTGAAATTTCAGGCTCAGAGTACGAAGAAACCACCTGTTGTGAAAAGCTGCCATATAAAAATATTGATTGCAGAATCCCATACATTTCATCTGGCCATTTATGCTTAAGATAATAAAAATAACCATAGGAAATTTCCTTAATCCGTTACATACATCAATATAGTTTTTTATGTATCTCTGTTTTACTGAATTGTTATATTTGATGTCTTTTTTAATAAATTTGTATGTTTTTTCCAAGACACAACGTTGTTTAAACAAAGACAGACATTTTGCTGATTTAAAAAAGAAAGAAAGAGAAAGTGTCTGAAACACAATTCTTGTGTGTAATGTCTTACTTTAGGGTTATTAGTACAGCGTAGTAACAACTTCTTACGTGTAGGGTCATTTCACAGTTAGTTTTCTGATGCATCTTTAACCAGGTGGTGTGTTTGCTTTTTTTTTTTTTATAGGACCGTGGCGCTAAAGAGCCTGAGCAGCTCAGAAAGCTGTTCATTGGAGGTCTGAGCTTTGAAACTACGGAGGAGAGTTTACGGGCCCATTTTGAACAATGGGGTACCCTTACAGATTGTGTGGTTTGTATTTTTCTCATGGGCTAGTTTTAAAATGATTTCAAATACAGGTGACAACGTGTAAATGTAATAGCACACCACTTGAACTGTACCTGTTAAACCTGTTTTGTCCCTAGGTAATGAGAGATCCTAACAGCAAACGATCAAGAGGGTTTGGCTTTGTAACATACTCGTCTGTAAGGGAAGTCGATGATGCCATGAAAGCAAGACCTCATAAAGTAGATGGCCGAGTTGTAGAGCCCAAGAGGGCTGTGTCCCGAGAGGTAAAATAAAGGAAGAAATTAATAAATCCCAGACCAGAGCACAGTTACTATAGATATGTTATTGTTTGGTGTGTACTTACTAATGCACTCCACTTTAGGACTCCAATAAACCAGGCGCCCATCTGACAGTGAAGAAGATCTTTGTTGGTGGCATCAAGGAAGATACTGAGGAGTACCACATTCGCGAGTATTTTGAGAAATATGGAAAGATCGAATGCATTGACATCATGGAGGAACGCTCCACAGGGAAGAAGAGAGGATTCTGCTTTGTCACTTTTGATGACCATGATACTGTAGACAAAATTGTTGGTATGGGCTCATTCAGATTTCAGAGTTAGCCAAACTGTTAGTAAACAGAAAGCAGTGAATAAACATGTAATGTTTTTCCTATTTTCCTTGAAGCCCAGAAATTCCACACAATCAATTTCCACAATTGTGAAGTCAGGAAAGCTCTGTCAAAACAGGAAATGAGTGCTATATCCAATAACAGGGGTAAGCATGCAATCAAAGGAAGATTAAAATTAGACCTACTGATTTGGCATGTACAGTATGCAGTTCATGTCATAAAAATCTTTAAAATTATACCTTTCTTTAAATAGGCAGGAGCGGGGGATCGGGAAATTTCATGGGCAGAGGTGGTAATTTTGGAGGCGGCAGCAACTTTGGCAGAGGTGGGTAGTTTGCATGTCAAGTCAAAGCACTTCTGGCCTTAAGCACATTAATTTGAAGTTTAAATTTGGGATGGAAGCACAGAAATAACATCAAAACTTCACAGTACTTGCAAACATTGCATATACGTGTGTTCTATGTGTCAGTACGAGTGTCTTTGTGTGGATGTCTATATCAAAGTGTACTGTGTATTTATGAATTGATCAATATAAAAGACCATTTGCTCTCAAATTCTGGTGCCTATGCTAATATAAACCTACCATCAGTAGTCTTCAGTAGATTACTGCATGTAAAAAGACCGTTTCAAATTAAGGTTTGCTATGTGAGCAGAAGTAATATAATTTCTTTTAATTAAGGCATTCGGTTTTAGATAATAGGAGTCTAAAACTATGTTTAGAATCAGAATCGCGCTTATTGGCCAAGTATATGCATTGTGTCTAGCATTGTGACAGTTCAACTGTTTGGGAGGGAGATGGCAAGGGGAAAAAACTGTTTCTGTGTCGGGTGGTCCTGGTCTGCAGGCTTCTATACATTTGGCAGCAGGTCAGGGTCGGTGTCCAGGGTGTGAGGGGTCTGTGATGTTGATTGGGATCATTATAATATGTGATTCTTTTTGGTAATCTCTTTATCTTGTTTTTTAGGTGGCTATGGTGGAGGACGGGGTGGATATGGGGATGATTTTGACAATGGTGAGCTTTAATGGGTTTAAAAGTCATGCTTACACAACTGGTGTGTCTGTAGAATACTCTTTGCAGTAGTGCCATGTTATAACAGTTTGTCTGTGTTATAGAAAATAAATCATTTATTTTTAATTTTTATTTTGTTTCTTAATTAAATAATAGGTCCAGGAGGAAATTATGGTGGCGGACCAGGTTATGGAGGTGGCCGAGGGGGCTACGGAGGTGGAGGTCCTGGGTATGGCAACCAGGGTGGAGGATTTGGTGGCAACTGTGACGGAGGCTATGGAGGTAATGGTGGAGGTAAAAGTTTTATTTCCTACAGAATTTTGATTGAATTGCCCGCGGGATGTGAATAGCAAAGGTGTGTGCGAGAGAGTTGAAACCAAAGCTTTCCTTAAAATTGACCTGCATCTTCAGGATATGGAGGTGGTGGAAATTACAATGACTTTGGAAACTATGGTGGTCAGCAGTCAAACTATGGGCCCATGAAGGGAAACAGCTTTGGAGGCAGGAACTCAGGTGGACCCTATGGCGGTAAGTTTCACCCTGCAGTTTCTCGTAGTACCTTCAGACTTCAAGTCTGAGTAACAGCATCGTAATTTTGCGACTGCAGGTGGATACGGCTCCGGTGGTGGCAGCGGCGGCTACGGCTCTCGGCGATATTAATTATTTAATGTTGTGGTAAGTTGCATTCAGCTTCACACCGCCCTCGTAGCACAGTACAGAGTGAGCCCATAAAAAGTGCAGAATAACTATTTGTTCTATCCTGTATCCATTCAACAGGCTTCAGTTCTTAGCAGCAGAGGCGAGGAGGTGAGCAAAGGAATTGTCAGGAAAGCTGCAGGTTACTTTGAGGCAGTCATCTGAAAGAATTAGAGGAACACACAAGTCAGAAATTACTGCAGCTAAATCGGAGAAGTTTATGGAAGAAGGACTGTATACAAGACATGAGTGCAGATGATACTCTACCCTAATTGTGATAGATGTTTCCCTACTGAGCAATTTTTCCTTCTGTGCGTCTGAAGTGTGTGTGTATTGTGCCTGTGGTATCAGGGATAAAGAGTAAAGTGTTTTGGGGTTGCTATGTTTTTTTTGGTTTTTTTAATCTGAAGTCAGTTCTAAATATCTTTATTTTTCTTTTTTATATGGGTAAGTTTTCTGCTGGCCAATTAACCTTTGTCTTTTAACCTGGTTTTTGTCACATAGAATAATAATTTTAGGTCCTTAGATAAGATAGCTTTATACATTCATTCTAAAGTTATTATGATTTCACAATTGCAAGTGTCAAGTGTATTTTTTGATTTTGTATGTAAAGCTCAGTGTGTAAATCCCTCGTAGTACCAGTGTCAACAATTACAAGCAGTCTGGAGTAGAATTAAGGGAATCCCTCACTCTTCTTGTTCCCAGCAAACCGAATTATAGATTGTTCAAATATTTTGATTAGTTGAAAAAGACCGAATAAAATTGTGTAGTAAAGTAACATGAGGTTCAGTGCATCTTTGGTTCAGAAAAAGATGAAATGAGTTATTAATATATCTGTTGCTTGCTTATTGTGACTGAAGTGTAGCAAATCAGCTGGTCCACAACTTTCCCATCTGGTGGAGTATTATTTAGGAGCTCTGTGACGTGAAAATAGTGTATGCGTGTTGCATTCATGTACTTGTACCAGGGTCAATATAAAGGGAGTTTTGGGTAGTCCTAGTGAAGGGCCCAGACACCACTTACGCAAGTAGGATAACAGCTACAAGCACCAGCATTTTGGGCTTCAGCGTCACTAGTGTGGAAGATTTGCAGATGACTGTCAGACAGGACGTCTTCAGCCCCAGCACAGTGGACCAGTCAGCAGTTTGAGAGAGAAGGGAGAAGGCAGCATCGAGCACAACGCCCATGGAGGAAGCTTGCAGTGTCGTGCCTGATAGTGAGCATCTATCTTTTTTTCAAGACTAGCTAAACTCTCCAGCAGCCCGTGCTAGTGAAGAAAGACTAGGACACACTGGAGGTCCTGTTGAGTCAGAGATACCGCAGTTTTACCCGCAAATACTAGAACTCAGACATTAAGAAGAAAAGGGAATGAGTATTTCACAAAGCTGACTTGAGAAGATGGAACAGGTAAGAGTAACCATTTTGCTTGATTTACAGATGTGGAAAGAGGAATTCTCTTCTTGCTGAAAATCTGTAAAGACCTGATAACATGGAAGGTTCTGGATGGGTAAGACTTTTTTTTTTTTTTTTTTTTTAAATATTGTCCAAGCCTGCTCATATTTCAATCTAATGCTGATTACACAAGGTGCAAAACACAGGGTGTTTTAAGATAAACAGAGCAGGTTGACCTTCAGTATTTGTCTACTTTGAGCAGAATCAGCATGTGCCCTTCACCCCACTGCTCGGTACGCTTTGAAGCCAAATACTCTTTATGCTTATCATCAGTATATTTTAAAGCTCAAATAAAGGTGGTGGTGATTGAACACTTGAAACAGAAAGATTATCATCCATTCCAAGAAAGGAAGTTAAGAAAGTTTTATAAGTAACTACTTTCAGTTGCTCCCCTACTTCAGAGGGTAGGTCTGCATATTTCATTTGACCAAATCCTACACCCAATGCCCTTCTTGGCACAACCCTCCAAGGGATTTGTATCTCCTTCCAGGATCAAACTGAGTAAATGTGTAAACCACTACACAAGGAGCTCCCATTTTTAGTTTTATCATGTATCAAACAATCCTAATCCCAAAAGGTGCAAAGTCAGAAAAATCAACAGTTATAATATTACAGTATCAATTCACACAGTATAAACTGTGACTTATTAAATAAGCACTTTAAACTGGAGGCTGAGGCTCTCCTAAAGCTAACATTTTTAAAAAGAAATGTAACCAATTTTTTAAAAGAATTGTTTAAAAAAAACTATCAGCAGGGGTCACAGGCACGTATAGCATTAAATGTGAGCATACTCAAATATTGGTGTAATAGATGAAAGCATAGTATTTTTCCATTACAGGCCATTTACAAAGTGCTTCCATTTGTTTCAGTTCTCAGAGTAGCCAAGTAAGCCAGCAAATTGAGGGACTTTTTGTAAAGTTTCCATAATCATGACAAGTCCTCCTACAGCACATATACCTTGTAGTTTTTAGAAGTGATGAATGATCTGTCATCAAATGCATAAAAATAAACTTGACATTTAATTATTTTTTTAACTTATTTCTGATTTATATGTATTCATGTTTGTGATACTTTGGTCGTGTTGCGACTAGGTGGACAAAGTTTAGGTGTCAAATGTTTTGATTCCACATACTTTATGTCTAGACTGCTCAGTATAAAAAACAAAAACGGTGCCCACTGTTATCCTGTCTCTCCCAGGATATTATCTTTGCAAAGGCATGTAAAATAACCAGCCTCATGTCAGGAGAGACAAAGAGCGAGTCAACGAAGGAAAGAAAAGGAAAACTTATTTGTTAAGGGCACACCAGTGAACCATTTTGTCTGCTAAGCAGAATATGTAACGTTTGACTTATGTGTTTGAATAAAGGGATTTTTCATGATATGAGCGTTTTATTTCTTAAACTGTTTCTTTATTCCTCAGAGTAAATGTTATCAGAGCATTTTATTATTTGATTAACGTGTGTCCTTGGAAATTTTTTTTTAAACTCTACCCTCCAGTTTTGTTTGCCACGTGCAGAAAACAGGCTTGACAACCAAAGGGGAGAGTCTGTGTGTGAAAGTGCATGGCGTGGGGGCACATTGATTGCAACAGGCTTTGCCTTTGAATGCACTTTCTCGTTGGAGTATTGTGGACTTGTCATTCATGTTTAGCGCTGAGCATACTCGACTGTACCTTGACAATTGTGCCCTTTGTACCGCGTCATAAAGAATGCCGTGGGTGTGAGTTATTTTACCAGGAGTTTTAATAGAATAAAAAGATTTGGGTTACTGTACAAACAAGCTCGCTCCTATACAAGTTGAGCAGATTGTGAAAGCATTTCAATCCAGTGACGTCTTTGTGTCTTTACAAAATTCTATTCATTTGCTGCGCTGTAAGCACTTTAGCAAAGCATTCATGTCAGGAACGGTCTTGAACATGTGGTAGGTTATGCAATAGTATCTTAAAACTACATATCCATCTGGCACCAATTTGTTGTGGGCTGTGGCTGCAGCATAGCACGCAATATTGTTTTCAGTCAGCGGGAGGCTAAGTAGCTATATGAATAGTTTATTTCAAAGCACAGAAATCAGAATAAAAAAGGGGAGCAAATCATAAGGATAAAGTTATAAAATAAGTAACTGATTGAAATAGTCATTAGCATACAGAAATATAATATATATACAATATATATGTACAAACACAGTAACTTTTTTTAATCAATCTCAGTGCTTATATTTACAAACTATTGGTTAAAGAATCTGTGAAGGTGTCGGAGTACAAAAGAAGTAAAATATAAAAAACTAGTAGAACATTCAAGAAAGCAAAAACTGTACAATAGTTCTGCTGAGCTATTAACGCTTAAAGCTGAGCAACTACAAAGTTATTGCATAGTATAGTATACTATAATAATGAAGTACCATATTACAAAGGAGATCAGTGTCTGTCGTCACTTTTAAAAGTCTTTTTAATGCGGGGAACGAGAAAGACGCTGCCATCCGTTGACTGCTGAAGGGAGTACTCTGATGGGGAGTAGGAATTTCCCTTCTCATCTCTCAACATGCCAAAGACCTCCAGGTACAAGTTGTTGAGCTGCCACTTCATTTCCTTCAGGTCTGTCATGTTCTTGCTCTTCTCACTCAGCAGGCGCTCTTTTTCTTCCTTCAGCGAGTCCAGCTCACTCTCCAAACCCACTATGTTCTCCATCTTGCGTTTACGGCAGTTCTGGGCTGCCACCTTGTTCTTTCCGCGGCGGCGTATGTCGCGGACCAGGGCCAGCTGGGCCTCGTTCAGTTGGTGTTTTGACATCATCTCATTAAAATCATCAACGGGGAGGTTGATAATCATGTCAACGGTAAAGGGGATTTTGAGCGCCTTGGCTCTCTGTTCGTCTCTGGAGAGACGCACATTAGAGCGTTTCTTCGCTTTATCTTTGGTGAAGGGGGCGTTCTTGTGGCTGCTCTCTTCTCCTGGGTCCACCTTATGTTTGGGATTCTTCTCGTGCTCGTTTGGTTGCTGAGATGGTATAGATACGGAAATTGCTGCGTGTGCGTCATCTGGTTGGAAATTTAATGAAAACATCTCAGAGTAGTCAGATTCTGCGCTGCCAGGGTTCTGGTCCATCTCCTCCATGTCCGAGTCGCTGCATCTAAAGGACTCGCTTCCATATGCAGATTTTGCAGGACTTGCATTTGTAGAGATCCCCGAATCTGAGTCTGGCTGTTCTGTTATTAGATTTTGCTTGCTTCTGTCAAAGGCATCTCCGGGTGAGAGGCTGTACAAATCCATGGGAGTGAAGGGGGCCTCGTTCGGGACATCGGACATGGCAGCACTTTCGTTTCCTTCGAGCTCATGCTGACCACTGCTCTCTTCCAATATAGTGTTCTGATAAAATATGTTACAGAAACTTTCTGCGCCTAAATTGCCATTTAATTGAGAGGTTTTTACTTTTATCGGGCTGAGGCCATCAGCTGGAGCCATGCTGGGAACGGAGCTGTCAAATGTGTTCATAAACTCTGTGGGATCGACATTTAAACTGTTTGCTGTCTCATCTGTCATGGGGTAAAAAGAGTAGTTTGGATTCTGTATTTCAGGGCTGTCTTGAAGGGGATAGGTTGTGGTCTCCAGTGTGTCCTCCATTTGCATGTTGAGGCATTCCTACAAAAAAAAATTACAATTTTGAAATAAATGCACTCATTTTAAGTACGGCTTAAAAAAATCTCAACATTTATGTGGTAGGATATTAAAAAGCCTACAAAAAAAGACTTATCACACATTCAAAACTGAATGACTGTTATTAAGTGGTTTCATTGTTGAAATATTGAAACCTAAGATTAGTATGTTTTATAAGTATAATTTTACTCTATTAAATTTCTCCTTCTTAATCTGTTATCATCACTAAACAGGGTTTCAGCTAACAAAGTCTGAACCATTGAGCTGTTCAGTTGTTGCAGCTCCCTGTGCTCCACTGAATGCCGGTAGAGCTGGTTTTAGCACAAGATTGCCTACTGTGATTAACAAAACTATCCAGTTGTTGAAATGTCGGAACTTCCTACAGCTGTAAACAGAATATCTTATCTTCATGAAGCAGCTTTTACAAGTTTGAGCACAATTCCACTCAGCTTTCATGTTTACACTTTTAGTATCATCACCAACTAACTAGATTAGTCCTGCCAATTCTATTTTGTGGTTACAACCGCAGCCCAGTCCACTCAGTCAAAGGTCGAGGCAACTAATGGTGCAATGCTCCACCCACCAGCTAATGCAAATATGAGGTGCCTTGAAACCGAGCTGATAAAGCAGCTAATGAAAATGACTTCACCTTTCTGCTACTAAGCAAAGATTTGAAGACACACCTGATCTGAGCAAGCTATCTTTTGGCTCTGCGCAAAAATGTTAGTGGCTATTAATCATATGAATTATATAACCCCTGAGCAACCATGCTTCTAATGCTGTAAAATGTCTAGATGATGAAAGTTAGTCGGAGTGGAATTAGCAGTGTGCACTGGATTCCTAAAGCAAACAACAATTGTTTGTCTTCTAATGTCAAGCTCCTGCCATTTATCCATTTTTTTTCTTTTTGTATTTGTTCCACCACACGAAATGCCATGTCGCTGAGTTTGTAGAATCTCTGTGTCATACCTGCAGCTCGGGGAGGGACAGAATCTCCATCCAGGCCTCCTCCAAATCTGGGGGCATTCCCTGTGGTGCTGGTGGTGGCAGCTGTCCTGGGGAGAGGGTGGCAGGTGATGGAGCTGGTTGTTCGGGGGACATCATCATGTTGCTGCTGATGGCTGCTGAGACACCAGGTGTGTCCAGACAAACTGAAGTGTTCTAGGAGACAAAACAGATATGACAGTTTTTATACAGCTAAAAACGATGCCCAACAATCACGCGGTTCATTTCTGTTCATTTCTGATCAATGTTCTTACCTCAGTTTCTTCTACAGGAAACGTCTCTGCCAGTAGCTGCAAACATTCATCGAATGACATGGCGTCACTTGTTTCTGTGAAACTGGCATTCTGCAACAGAAGTTAAAATACCTTGTGTTACTTTTTACCATCTAGCATCTACCAGCTTTTTGGCACACCATGTTTTAACAGCAGCACATGATTGTGTATTTATAGCGCTCAGGTCCCTGCAGAGCACTGATGCAAAACTGAAGTCCAACCTGCGCTGCTGCATTTACACAGGACGAGGTGGTAACCTAGCTACAACACAGCCAGAGCCTATAAAATGAGGTGGGAGGGGTGTACCTTTGACATGAGTAATGATGGAGCATGTATGTACCTGTGTACCTACCTCTAGAGGTGTGACGGCAGGCTGCAGCGGGGCTCGAGGTATGTATTCTCCCGTCTCCTCATCTAGCTGTAGCTGTGCCAGCAGGGCCTTCTCCTGCTCCCGGAGCAAATGCAGCTTCTTCTCCTCCTCCAGCTCCCGCTGCCTCTGGAGCTCATGCTCTTTCTGACGGTGGTTGTAGTCAAACACTTCACGCCTAGCACCAAGATCAATGTCTTGCTTCCACAGTATGTCAATCAGGTCCATGTCCTAGAAAGACAGCCGCAGATCAGTTAACAGAGTTTGCAAGCAGCCATGCTGTCCTGCATAGGAGTGTTCTGAGCATCGCAGCCAAACAGAACGTCCCTGCTGCGAAGCGTGACTGTTGCACCTGCCACACCCTGTCCCTCAGTATCTGATCACCGACAACAACACAGGCACTAATGTCAAGGGACAGAAACTGCATGAATAATGAACGCATTTCTCTCCTTCCTCTGTTGTCACCACACACCAGCAAAAGACACATATCCTCATTTGATACTTTTTCCAGTGAAGGGAAGTAGTCACTGCTTATCCAGTTACGCAGAAGTGTGAATTTGTTTGTCGTATTCAGACTGCCACACAGCCAGGGATCGTTTTTTAGCGAGTACTTAAAGTTCAGATTTAAAGGATGGTTCCAAACTAGTTTAGAAGTTAAATCATATTACACCATTTAGAAAATGTGGCCATAGTATACAGTATTATGGTTGGTGAAGAACATATGAGCGAAGAACATATAAACATATAAACAAAGTAGAATTGGCACTGTAATTCGTCAATTATGATTATGCGGTAAATGTATAATAGTGTTGCATTTACATATGCCTATTTGGCAACAGCTACATTGATGCCAACCTATAGCTACAGTTCTTTGAAGGTGCTCAGGTTACGGCAAAGGCGTTACGGCAGGTTACGGCAAACCCTTCTGAGACCTTACGCTGTAGCGTAAGGTCTCAGAAGGGTTTGTGTTACAATGTACCTTTGTACCTAATCACACTATGAGGTCATAATGTCATACTGAGTGAAATTAAAATGCTTATTTCCTCAATTTCACCCTCACTAGGTATTTAAGTCAACTATTACAAG